ACTCTCAAGTCTGTTCTTTTACCCTCTTCCCATTTTTCCATTGAACCCCCTTGGAAATCTTCACCTTATTTCTTAACACTCCTGACATAAGACAGAGCATAAAAATTAACATCACTAATAAAGGCTGTGTGTCTAATGCAAACACTCTGATACTAAGCTTTCACTCACACACAGTCACAAGTGTTACTTAATTTTAATTCATATCAATTTTTGGTCATAAGTGATGAACTGCATGTTCAGTAAGTAAATACTTGCACATTTAATCAAATATAACAAAATCAGATTCAGAAGTAGTTATCCTCATATAATTTTCCATCAAATCAGCATTACAATACAGGTGTCAGCAGCTGTACCTTGGAAGAGCAGTGATCTTCCCCCACTTCTCCACACAGAACCTTCTGGGACCATTGCTCCCCCGCAGAGAGGCAAAGCCTTCATAAGGGATGCTGGACGTGCCTGTAACAAACTGCCAGCACAAACCAATCACCAGTGCTGCACACACTGATGAGCCAGGTAGGAAATTTATTTCTATCAGCATACCCACTGAATTCCAAATGATTATATAAGGGCATTTGCAAAATAAGGAAATTTATGAGGCACAAGGGGCAAATGCTACTTTAAGTGGATAAGGGAAAACAGGTCATTTCCTGATAGGGCTTTAGGAGAGACAACTTATCAGATTCATTTTCTTCAAAGGCTTCTCTTAGGAAGAGTAAGCATGCTGCATAAATATTGTAGAATAAACCACTATTAATATCAACTTACTTAAACTGAGGCCTGAGTTACTCTGTACTGTCTTTACTCTGTATTAAGAGGAACTAATTAAAAAAAAATAATAGCTTCATATTATGCTTTTTTTCCTATGTGGATTGCAATTTCTTTATAAACCATTATTAAATACTGTATTTAGCAATATAGTATTTAGAAAAGGACTAAATTCTGAAAGTTAGGTAGAAGGTCACCAACATACCACTCTTCATACCTTTTTTACATTTCAGCATTGCTGAAAAGCTGCCTGTTGAGCAGATTTAGTTATAACCTGTTGTGAACAGATCCAACGTTTTCTGACAGATCAGAGGCTACTTAATTTTTAATGATCTGGATATGATAAAACTTTTGACTAACAGATGTGATAGGAACATATAAGCACATATATCTGGCTCTCCAACAAATGTTACCAACACTACTTTTTACAGACCTTTTTGAAGTAGTTAAAGAGATAAAAAAAGAAAATCCTTCATCATACTCATATAGGTAACTCAATGATCAGATGCAGATTCTGGTTTGTTAAAAACAGTAGGTTTCAGAACAGATGAAGAACATGGTATTGCTTGGGGTGGGGGTTCCTCTGTTTCTTTACAAATATCATGAAAATAACTTGCATTTAAAAAATTTAACTCAGTAGTAAACCCAAATGTGTAAATATTCCTGTGTTGAGAGGTTTTTGTCCTTCATCAGCAGGATGACTGGATTCTCCAGCCTGACTTAGTAAAAATGGAGTTGGTCTTATTTTCAGGTTTTCATCACTGTTTTCTAATTTGAGGCATTTAAACTTCTATCTAAGCTTCTCCTTCCAAAGCTGTACAAGTATTATTAATATTTCTACCTAATGATATAGCCACTTACACAGTTTTCTTTTTCTATCTCTATTAGTCCTTCATGTACTTTAATCAAACAATAGTAAAGGATTATTGACATCAGATACTTTCTCTTAAATGTATTTTTTTAACCTAGAAATCTATAAAAATAGCTGTGAGCTGTAATTTTAATGATGCATACTATTTCTATACAGATGAGCTGATTTCTTACCTGTAAAAGTCTCAGTCGTTGTTCATTGTTGAACCTTTCCACAGCAGCCCAGAACCACCGAATTACGATGTGATTGTCATGATAACCTGTCAAAACAAGAAGAGCCTTTGTACCTTAAGGTGCTACAAAAGGGGCTGAGAAAATGGTTAACAAGTTTTTCCTGGTTTGGCCCAAATCACAATAATGCCATATTTCTTATCCAATTGCAGCAAAAGACAAGAGATGACAGAATAATACACTTAAATGCTTAAGAATCTTAAATACAGAATTAATTTACTATGACAAAAAGGAGTGAAATCTCTTTTGCAAGCATTTCTTCCATCATTAATGGGAATGCCAGTCCGCCAATCCTTGAAATATTCCAGTGCTGTACTTTTTGTATATCTAAAGCTATTAATGGTCCTGCAATCATCTCTCTTAGAGTAGTTCCCAAATCTTCCATTGTTCTCAAGTTACAGCCTGCAGTCACTGGGATTACATCAAATTTCCAGTCTTCTTTGAGTGGAAAAGAGCGAGTTCCTACTAAGAATGGTTACCATTTCCGTTTTTCCCCAGTGTCTGGGTGGAACTCTGCTAGTGTGCAGGTGAGCAGAGTACTTTCTGTGGAGAAGACTGCTCTGTTATCTCTCCAGACAAGAACAGTTAGTGATGAGATGCATGGGGAAGCAAGGAAGCAAACTAAAATGGACAAATTACCTTCTCCTAACAGAAATTTAGTCACAGAAGTTCCGAAGACACTAAAGACGTCTCTCATGGAACAGTTCTTTAGTGTCTTAGAAACTGGGTAATCCCAGGGACCCCAACATTGCCAGTGAACAATTCAAAATCAAGGTCACCTCCTCTATATTCTGTATTATTTCTCCAGTCACTCAAGTCAATCTCTGCTGTCCCAGCTATAACCAGTTCCAGTTCTCTGGCATCAAATACGGACACGAGCCTCGCGTCAACCACCTGCAAAGAGAAATAAAATGCAGAGCAACAGTTCTTCATTTATTGATCCATGCCTCCCCAAAAAAGTCTCACCTGCTACTAAGCAGGTAAGATTTCTCTCACAAACAGAACGAATTTTTTGTTTGTTTTTAAAGACAAATAAATGGAGTTTTTCCTATGCTGCCGTTCCATTCAGTTTCATTAGAAGATCACTGTGATTAGCAGAGAATTTTGTTTGAAAATTATATTGAAATATTTCAGGAAATATTAAGTTTAATACATAGGATGTAGTTGTCCCTGTTAAAACAGGTAGGACAGAAATACCTTAAAATACACTCTACTGTCTTACATTGAGTATGGCAGGCACACAAAAATACCTCAAAAGCCCCATGAGGAAACAGTACTTTAGCAAGCACTCAGTGCTAAATAGATGAATAATCATCATTAGTATTTGCCAGTTTAAAGAAAATATATAATCCCAGTGTTTAAGTCAATGACTAACAAAATAGACTTTTTTAATTCCCACCTCTCACTCCCAATATCTCACTTCTGATTACTTATGTATCTGCCTTTTGGGATGCTGTATTTGGGAAATGAATATGAGGAAAAAAATATTTGGGGAGGATAAAGGAAGAAAGTAAATTTAATTTTGGAGTTTTTTACCTCATAGAAGCCACGAACTAGACTTTCTGTCTGTTGTACAACGCCTCTCTCAATTCTCCATTTCACCATTCTTTCTATATATTCTTTCTTGTTCTTTTCAGTGACTGGGATGTTGGCACCTCCTGGCTTTAGTTCCCTTTCTGTGATCTTAGGGAAAAAAATGACCAAGTGACAACACAGTGTTATAAAGACAAAAGAATTGTAAGAATTTTAATTTTTAAGTTGAATTAATTCCTCAAAAGCACTAGCCAAGACTGACTTTAGCAAACTGGAACATGTGAAATTAGACCTCTTTTTGGATAAAATAATATTTAAAATCCCATTTAGTCTGAAGAATCTTCATATATAGCATGAAGCATCAGCTGAGAAGAAGAAACAATTTTTACAATGACTAAAATAGTAAAGTCTTCTAAATAATATTCTAACAGAGGTGTTGTAATACTTTTGAATGCTAACTCTGCTGCAATTAAATTCAGGTAAACTACCTCCAGCAGAGTAATCCAAAATTTTGGTATTTCAGATATTCTCCAGAAAATACCCTTAACCAGGAAGACATGCTTGACTGGTTACAAATAATAATTCCTCCTTAGGTTTCAACATTGTTTTCATCACCAAGAATTTTATAAAGACAGGTTCAAATCAGCATGGAATGCCAGTCATTCTTCTGTCCAAACACATGTTTATCGAGCAGCAGACAAAGGAAATTAAATTAAGGATCTTGCATACCTGCCCAAAAACTTCTTCGTTTACAGTGAAAGTGAGATCTAGGATATCATGTATATCATTATCTTTCATCCACTGCAAACTCTGGTGAAACTCCTCATCGAGATATTCCAGGTCACTCAGGTCACAGAGTCTATACAGAAGCAAGAAGAAAACACAAGTACAGATGACATCAGTAACATGTGCTCAGTAGCTGAAATCAGATAGGACAGTCCTGAAAAACAGGATGAGAATGGGAGCCAAAAGAAAAATTAATAGAATAAAGAAGACACTCCTTCCAATCTGTTTATTTGCCTCGTAATAGCAGCTACTGTATAACAAAAAAGAATGTTTAAATACACAAAGCTCCAGATTTTATTAATTTGAAGACATGTTGCTTTTCAAGCTTGTGGTGACTCTGTCCCATGTTTCTTGTGAAGAATATTTTGGAATTAGGAAAATACATAGATTGAAGAGACAAAAAATTCAAATAATAAGAAAAGATAAGTTTTTATAAGAAGCATTTAGTACCCTTTCTGCTCCTGTGACTACACTGCCACCTCTCTCGCCTCCATTGTGCGAAGAAGTCTGTTTAGATATCACACTTACCACAGAAACATCTGATTTTTTGGCCCATTTCCCCTTACCTGGTTCCTTCTTTTACAAATCAGACTTGTCAGCCAACTGCCCCTTTCTACCTTTAACAGTTACTGCACCAAGTTTTGCACTGTTAAAAATATTTTACAACATGGTGACAATTTCTGTCATTATTCTGCACCCCTCAAGTCCCATTCCACGTGAAATAGGACACTGGGCTATTCCTTACTTAAGGCTTTTCAGCTGCTGGGTTCCCTGTCTGCTTCTTTTTTTGGGTCTGTATAAAGTCAGAAAAAGCTCTCTACCTTTAGAGTAGCTTAGGAGATATCCTACAGCCCCTACCTACAACAACCTCAACAACAAAGAAAGCTGATGGATCTGGCACAAAGTGCCATCTGTTGAGGTAGTCTGGATGGCTCATCAGTTCTGAAGAAAGCAAAGGTCCAAGGCCTGGATGGGGAACTTGCATGAATTAGGCTGTGCACAAAGGTGGCTGCCTTTCATTTTTAATTTTACTGTTTAGAGAACCACCAATTAAACAATTAATCTGACAGTTACACAATATTGCTATTAAAATCCATCTGTGGTAAGTCACCATACTTATTAAAATGATGCTGTGACTTTAAATGACTTTAAAAACGGATGTACAATAGTAATGGATGCATTCTCCACACTACTAGGATGTATGATTTTTTTTTAAATACAAAAAACATCCTTCCAGACTTCTCAAAAACAGCTTGCAAATGGAGTACAAAAAGTGAAGCACCTTAAGTTCATTAGATCTTAAATTCCAGAGATGCTGAGCAAGTGCAGCTCTCACTGATTCAGCCAGAACAGGAGTATCAATTCTGCAAATGAAGTCTAGAGTGTACCAGAGTAAAGCTCCTTAAAATGGAAGTTGCCATCAGTCTACCTCTGAGAATGGGTCTTGCAGTCTAAGTTACAAAGTGATTCATATCCGATGCTGTGAGTCATTACAAGACAAATGAATAAGAACTCTATTCATATCTGGAATTAAACCACAGCGTTTCATTGTAGAACTTCAAACGTAAGATTCTGTAGAAGAAAGCTGATAACACAGCTAAAACAAAACATGAGGTTTTCATGCTGACCAGAAGCAACACTCTGAGTTATTAGGTAACTGGCTAGCAATGATAAGCAGAAACAAGTAAACTTTTTTTTAAAAGTCCTGGATTGAAACGAAATGATTGAATTATAAATAATGGCTTATCCTCTTGACAATAAAATGCCACCATTTATCCATACACAAAATGGCATCATCCATGGGGAAGGAACCAAAGAAAAAAGTGGACAATTCTACTCACATTCGGAGGAGGGCTTTATAAAAGGGTCGTGTAAAAAAGGCATCTAGCAAATACTGATGTATCAGAGCAAGACCAAGAATTCGACCACTAAACCTGAACCTGGAAGAGAAAGAGTTACAATCGTTATACTGAAACTTTGTGGTTTGTGCACTGCTCTGTCATCAAAACTTACATATATTTCCAAACAGCATTTTCGAATCAGATAACAAAAATACCACAGTTTAGGCATAGCTTTGTTCTTGTGTTTCTTTTCCATTCTCAGGAAGGCACAGAAAAAAAAATGCAAGTCTGCAGGGTGTGGAAAATCCCTCAGATACCTAAGTTGCAGCTTCTCAAAATGTCAAATCCCTATTAAACAAATCAAGCCCTGCCAGACCAGCCTCTTTATGAAAGCACATCTTGCAAAATGACAGACACCGTCTATTTTCCTTACACACCCCACCTAGGATTAACTTGTTTTCATGTCACTGGGAGGCCAAAGGTTTTTCTGCTCTTTCCCAGCCTGACAGTTCCTTCTGTCTTCTGACAGTGGCTCCTTGCTCCCTCTTCTGACTGATGATTAGGGAGTTCTAGATGTATTTTCACAAACAGTGGGTGGAAGTCTTTTTAATGTATCACATGGCTGTCCAGCCCTATGTCAATGGAATCTACAGAGTCTCCTTCTCTCCCCTCTCTTCACCTATTCTCTTCATTTTGTTGGGTGTGTAAGTAGTTGGGGGAGAGAGAGAGAGTCTAATGGATTTGAGATCAGACAGAAGCAACTCTGAAATAACAGGGTCTTTGCAAATATTCCTACGAGAATGAAGCCCCGCTGTGAAAAATCCTCCACATGTCTGGAATAACATTTCTTAAACTTTCTTTTCAGGCATCCTCAGCACATTTTTCTTGGAAAGATTAGAATTTTATTATACGTGCCTGCACACACGGTTTGCAAGATGAGGATGTGACTAGCAGAGCCTTCTCCTTCCATGCCTAATTGCTTGTCACAGCTGAATTTTCTGAATTAGCCACAAGACCAGTGCTGTCACTGGCACCAGCACTCCCAGAAAGAGAAGGGATCACGCCTCCCTCACCCCCAAGGCCTCTGGTCCAGCACTGCAGAAGCCAGGGATGAATACAAAATGCTGCAGAACATGTAAGGGGTTCTTCTCTCCTTCTGGCCAGGCCATTCTGCTTTTCCAATACAGCATTTGCCATTTATTGTTTCAGTATTGTAGTTCAACATGTAGGCTGCTTCAACTATCTGAGCTGGAAGCAGCCAACCATTTAATTTTATATTAATTCCTCAAACTAATCATGAGATTCCTTTCTGATATTCATTCTTCATAACTGGCTTCCAATAAATAAGAACTCAGCACACATCTGTCCTACACAGATGAGCAGCTGTCATTCCCCCATTGCTGTAACCCAGCTACCTACACAACAGAATTCTCTGTTAACATTCACAGCACAGCTTTGCAGATTTGTGGTGATGCCATGGCTTAAATCAACCGAGGGTGATTTGAACTGGCTTATAATTGTGGAAATGGGATTATGTGAAAATCCTTGATAACTATTTTCCAAGTGTGTGTGTACATACAGACTTTGCTTGAAACAAGCAGTCTTCCCTCCATCCCCAATAAAATATCTCTATAGATTTCCTTCCAATAGATACATTTTTTCCACTGAGAAGACCTCTGTACTCTTTAGGAAGACTGAAACAAATTACATACAGTAACACCTGTTTGAAATGTCCCTTAATCTTCTCAGTCAGCATTTCAGTCTTCTGGTTTTTTTGTTTGTTTGTGGTTTTTTTTATTTTATTTTTAATGCACTTTTAATGCATAAGAGGCTAATATTGCTTTCACAAAATGACTGGTAAGGCACAAGAAATGCAAAGGTCTTTTGTTAGAGAATCCCATGGTGCACGTTCCAAATCATAGTTTTGCTGACCTTGTGAGAAATAAGATCATTGAAAACCACAAGAGAAAACACAACTAGGAAAGTATAAAGAAATGCAATTAGTTTGCTGCTGGTTTAAAAGATCAGTTTCTGTGTTATATGTCTGAGCTGTTATGAGCAGTTGTTTACAAGTAGGAACAACAGAAATCATATCTAAAAAACAAAATGAAAAATAATTCTTACCACTCATGGTGATTGTCTACAAAAGCAGACATGGGGCTTATTTGTACTGTATAGGTATCATTGGCTGAATATTCAAACAAACCATAATATGGATTGAAGAGCTCTCTAGACACCAGGAAAAAAAACTCTCTTGAAGGTCCACTGTAGTCCAACCTTTAAAGAGAAACTTGACATTACTATAAAGTGTTCTCTCTGTGCAAAGAAATGCTTTTTTTTTTTAATCTACTTTCCTCATGCTATATTTTAATTAAAATTTCTTAAGATTTTAACCAGAAACCTTATCCTGCAGACTGCTTAATGCCAAAGCATGTGAAGTCGTCACAGAACTATTCTGCAATGGAATGAAGTGCTCGATGTGGGCTGCACTCATAAAAAAAAATTTGGCTCCAGCTATAATGGCCTCTTCACCACAGGAATATAACAAAATAATGGGGGTTGGGAGGAGAAGGAGACATGAAAAAAAGCCAACATTAGACCTATCTGTAGCTGACAAATTAAGCATGAAAATGAACAATGCTCATATTTTGTCTTTGCAGACTTACAACAATAACATAATTTGAAGGATAATGTTTCTGTTTTCCCTAGCAATATAATCTGAGATTACTTCAGTGATTTATCTTTCTTGGTCTAAATTTTCTTGTTTGTCTTCCAAACCTGAGTGCACTTAAATGTCTTTTGGAGAGTGCATTTCCCTTGGTGTGGTGTTTTGTTTTTTTTTTTTCTTTTTGCTATTTCAAGATTCCAGTATTATTGAAAAAGGAATCCAAATAACCCCTTCTTCCTAAATCATAAACAAACTCATTATTGCTGATAAAGCACTGAGACTGAATTTTGACATTATGCTGCAGGTCACCAGTGAAATAAGTACAAAATTAATGCTCTGGTAGAGTTGGAAAACAGAAAACTAGGGGTTTTCCTGTGGGGGAACAGACACCATTATAATCCTAACAAGTATATATACAGATATATCTTCTACACATTGACAATTTGACACCTGACTTTTAAGAAGGTCTTGCTTTAGTACTAAGATAATGCACAGAGAAGTATCACAGGGAAGGTCAGCTTCCACACAGGACTTCTGCTACTCATGTTTTGGCTCCTGAACTTGTACCAAAGACAAACACAGAGGTGAGTTGTTTTTGAGGATGAAGTTGTCAGGAAAGTAAAGGCTAGGTGCCATTATCAAGTTGAGGACAAAGCCTCTTTCCTCTGTTGAGTGAAAAACATTTTCCCTTCAGTCATTTGGAACCACTTCGCTTCTGTTAAGCTTCAGAAGTGAAGTACTGAAACAGATTCTTACCCTGGCAAGAAGGGCAGATTCCATCCTCAAAATGCAGAAAAAAACCCAAAGGGGTTTGCCATCATGGACAACCGTTGGACCTTAATCTTGGCACAAATACCAGGATCAAGTTAATGGTCATCTCGAAAACTCTTGCAAACTTCTTGGGTAATCAGACTCATAAAATGATTCCAATCTTTAGAGAAACTGTGTGCTTGACTACTAGCCATTTCATACAGCTCCTTTTGTATGCAGAGTTAACTGTGAGTCATGTTAAATAAATCAATCAGGAGAACCCTGCACTGCCAGTCGGATTTATCCCACAATTAAAGGCTTGGCACAAGGGTGAGAAAACTTCATACAAGAGGTATGCAACCACACAACAGCTGCAACTGTGGGGCATTTGGGTATTCAGTAGAGTAATATGTTGTTGGCAACATGACTCATGTCTCCTAGGAAGCACCATTAATACCTCAGATTCACCACTGTTAAATGCAAAGCAGCTTCTGCTAATAGTTAGTAGAACTTGGGGAAAATAAGAAACCATATTCTTTATATTAAAGCTTTCTTCATTTATCACCACATGAAGTATTAGTGTAAAAACATGAAACTAGCATCACAGTTGCATGACTAGAAATTAAAGGGTCAAGGAAGATAGCAAACATGAGACATGATAAAAATCATATGAACAGCAATAACTACGTCTGAGTTGTCCCCACTTACTAACTTGTACATTAATAAATCAATAGTGAATAAAACATTTTGATTTGTGAGGATGTCATGACCAACTCATTACTTTAAGACTTACACCTCTTCACCAAAAGGAAAAGAAATGCAAAAGCAAACTCCCACTTAAAAACTTACAGCAAGGAAAAGGAAGAGCAAATAGGAAACAATTAACTTTCAGTATTCCTCCTCCTCATCATTCCCCTCTCCTCCACCCTGACCTGTCTTTCTACACCTAACTAAATGAATAGCTTGATGTGATCCATACCCTTGCACCATCTCTGATGAAACAATACTGCTTGCACACACGCTTTCTTCATTCAAAACACAGATTTGTAAATAGAGAATTGAGGTCATTTTAATTTGACTTTGCTCTTAATTAACACGCACTCTTCCATGAAGAAGAGAGCCCTGTGTAAAGCTGGGTATCATGGGAACAGGACGTCTGGCCCCCACTTCCAGGTCACTCTTCATCTCCTGGTGCTGAGCAATGAAATGCAAAAGCCTGATGGCTGATGAAAGGGGACAGTCTGTTGGGATCAATCTCTAGACCTCACGTATGATGTTGAATTTCTCCCTTTCATTTTTAAATCTGAGTTGAGATTGTAGCTGTGGCAGTAAAGGCTGGCAGGGCTGAGTAAAACAGCCTCGTTCCTGCACCTCCACCCTGCTCTGTCAATAGAGTGTAATCTCACCCTGCACCAGCCTCGTCATTCCAGTTCTGATTTCTCCTCAGACAGCATGGGGATATCATTTGTATGAACAAGTCCACACTTGGCTCTCAGCTGTCAACATCTTCTAAGACTTCAGTGAGTCCTTATTAACACTAAGCACTTCAGGGCGAACTTCACACAAACAACTGGATTTAGGGGGTTTCAAAGACAGATTAATTTTATCTAATCTTGTATGAGATGTTTCTATTACAACTTGGCTATTTTAAAGACTCACACATCACATGGCAATAATGCACACTACAGCTAAATATATCAATGCAAATATTTGTGCCTAAGGCAGTAAGCTTTATAGCCTGACAAAGGGGGCACAAATCAAGATACCAAAGAGGTAGGTAGTGTTAAATTGTTCCAGTTTCACTAGCAAAAAAAATCTAACCACAGGACATGAGGCAATGGTTTTAAACTAAATGAGGGCAGATTTAGACTACATGTAAGAAAGAAAATTTTTACAGTGAGGGTGGTAAAATGCTTGAATAGGTTGCCCACAGAGGTTGTAGATGCCCCAATTCCTGGAAATATTCAATGTCAGGTTGGATGAGACTCTGAGCAACCTCATCTAGTTAAAGATGTTCCTGCTCACTGCAGGGGGATTGGACGACCCTTAAAGGTCTTTACCAACTCTAAACACTCTATGATTCTATGATCTTGCTTTACCTATAACATATTAGACTTTTATTAGACACAGACTGAGCATTCTATGAAGTGGCTGAAATGTCAGGAATATTTGTGTTTCTTTGACAACCAGCAACAGCCTGGTTACTTTTAGTTGTGACCCAGGCCCCAGCCTCCTGTAGCACAGACAGCTTCCAGCTCCCATAGCCTCAGACAGGATTTGAATTAAGGATTGAGCCTCTAGCCTTTTCTTGAAGCATCCTGCCTCCAAGAAATGGCAGCTGTCTTTTTACAAGTACTGGAAGTATAATATCAGTATTGACTGAAAAAACATAGGAATAACACCAGAAAGCTGTTTGTTTTTTCTTTGCTTTCCCAGCAATATTCTGAAACACACACCAACAACTGTGAAAATTCATATAAACACATGCATTACTTCTGCAAAGGCAGGATACATTACATTTCACAACGCCTAAAAAGTCATCTTGAACAGTTGTGTGTTCTAGGTTTATGTATGTGGCATTTCCTGACTGTAATTCTTCCTCTTTTCAGTGCAGACCACAAGAAGTTTGGTGAAACAGCAGCTGCAAGACACACTGAGTTCTGAGATCACATTTACTTCCCTGTTCTACTCACCCTTCTTCCCCAACAAACGTGACATAGAGCTTATTTCTCTGCAGGTCTTTTCTTGAGTAGCCCATGATCTGGTTAAAGGCATCTTCTAGCAAATGATCTCTCCTGATGATTAATCTGAAGAGCAAAATAATTTTGAAACACCAATTCACCAACATGAAGCACAGTTGGAAACATCGATGTACAGTGCAAGGTAACAGGGTGACTTCATTGAGATACATGTTTCTGCTGGATAATTTGATCCAGATCAGGCAGCTTCTGTCTCTTAGTCTATCTTTAGAATTTCAGTAAAATCTCTCTTGAACAAAGAAGAGTAGTTTTATTTTTTCTACCCTGCTTCTTCCTTAAATTAAAGGCTTCAGTGGGAAAGATCCTGAAAAAAGCATTTTCATTAAGTTTAAAATCCCTTTGTGAGCCTAGGTCTTTAAATCAGTCAGTAAGCAAGAATCTAACCTTTTATGTAAAAATCAATCTTTTAACAAGGAAAAGGATAAAAACATAGGGATGTCACTGGATGATAACTCCAGTATCACACATCCCTACATTATTCCCCAGTTTAAGTGTGATGGGACAAAAAGTCTAAAAGGAATGACAATCATTTGTAAAAAAACAGACTGATGCATCACATGTGAAAACATAATGTAGCTTGAAAAAGAAAAATTGTGAGAGTGAGGAAGTGTCATAAGGATCTAAAATAAGAGTTGAAAGAATCCTCCTTACTGGAACATTTTATCTACTGCCAATAAAGTGTATAGTTTCCTGAAACTTTGCTTGCTTTGTATTAAAATAGTGCCTTGTGTGAGTGTTTGACTGAAGCTGGGAGCTGCTGCTGCCCACAGAGAGGTAGCTTACCCTGCCACACAGACTCTTGCAAATTCTTGCTGGCCTTACTGCTTGTGCAGAGATTAGTCAGTGATTGCACTGTGCTATCCTGAAGAGGACTCAGAATTGGAGGGGCCAGGAACTGGCAAGGTACCTGGGAAGTAAGGACCCAGGCAAGTATGCAAGCTGTGCTGGAGCTCTGTTTTAAAAAAAGAAAAAGGAGCAGGCCACTGTATGCCTGGGAAAGGAACACAGAGAAAACTGTTCAAAAATCAAGCTGTTATTCTTGCTTAAGAATCCAGTGTAATGGCAAATAGATCAGGGGAAAAAAAGGTGCAAGAAATGTAATAGATCTTACAGGATTCAAATGCCATGCTCTTCTACTAGCTATTTACCCAACCATTCATGACAAAACTTTCAGAGATTCAGCTTTAAGTGTTTATGATATCTTTATATCATAGGCAGACAGTGTCCAACCCCTGCCTCTTAAGATTGTCTAAACAATGCTATTTTAATCCCTTTTCAGTTGTGGAAAACTTTTAACGAGCTCACATAAATGAAATCTGAGCTCTGCCTACATCCCTGCAAAATGTGAGAAGTGACTGGCTGAGGGAAATAAAAATAACAACAACAAAAAATTTAAACAAAACCCCTACCCTCCTATTATAATAGAATAAATGGTTAAAAATAAGTTCTGGTGCCTCATGGCCACTACAAGAATATCTAACTATCAGAGGTTGATAGCTGGCACAAGACTTGATAGTTTACAAGATTATGAAAGTATCTTATGATTATGATGATCCTTAATATAACCACACAATTATCAAATAAATGGAGGAAAGAGCTCACTCCAAGCACTGTAGCATTCAGTGCTAAAATAAAAATATTAGCTGTTTTTTAAGGCAATCCTTACAGTTCAGTAACATTTAATTTTATGAATCCTCCTTAGTAAAAGAGGACTGTGATATCAATACAAAAGGTAAGCCTATCTATTCTGTTCATTGGAAAAAGACATGAAAAAATATGACTGCTTATATCATAGCAATTGCTGTGGAGGAATTCAGACGTCTCCCGTTGTGCATGCCTCTTCCCAGAGTGGTTTCTGGCACTGTATTGGTATTATTGTTTGTATGAAAATATACTCAGAGGAAACATAGAAAATAAGTGCTCAGAACTTGCTGTATCTTCTGCTATGAATCACATGCTGGCACTAAGTCTTTTATGACAGGTTTTGTATTTCCAGAAGTGCAAGGACAACCATAACATCTGCATTCCTTCTAGTGGGAAGAAGCTCGTAGACATGCAAGATGAGGCAGGCTGCCTAAGAAACAAATCCAGTTCCATCAGATTCTTCAACATACTTCAATTTCCCTGGGCCTTGTCCATATCCTTTAGTCTCCAACTTCCTGTAAAAGTTCCTCAGCTTGGCTTCAAAATCTCTTTTGTAGGGAGCTGGAGCTCGGGCATTGGCACGCTGAGTACCTGCAGGAAGCAATAGGCAAAGAATGAGCTGTAGTGACATGAATAATGTCCCATCCTCTCCTAAAAAGACTCCTTCATTGCAAAAATCATGGTGTATGTTTGGTTTAGTCACCTTTATAAAGAGTAAAAGCTGCATATCTTCAAGTCTGCTCTGCATCCAAACTTTTTGGTTGCTCATTTCCAATAGTATCATCTTTCTAAACTAAGTCTTAAAAGAGCAAATCCAGGTCAATGCAAAATATGGATTACAAAAACAGAGGAATCAACTGGAAAGATTAATTTTTTTGTGTGTGTGTCAAATACACTTTATGTCTAACCTTTAAAATAGCTCATGCAATAAATGTTCTGCTCTGTTCTGGTTTTAATATTATTAGGAAAAACAAGAACTCAGAAATGAAGCATAAACAGACTGTACTCTGCTGTGTCCCCGGTTCAAGTCATAAATCTGAAGAAGCAAAACTTTTGGAAAATCCCTAGTAGAATTTTTTTCCTTGGGGAAGTACAGGGAAGACAAACATTAGAAGAATGGAAAGACTACTAAATTGAAGTTTGTAGAACTTTTCACACGTGACTGCAGGAACATCCATGACAGTCATCTAAGTGATTTGTTGTTGAAAAACTGCTTTTGAGGGTCAGTTTCTTGGGAGAAATGAGATCTGTATGCCAAAACAATAGCATAACTCCACATCTGCATGTACAGGTCCAGTATATACAAATGAGGTGTTTAGTCTGATCTCTTCTGAATAACACAATCATTAGAGCTTCCACTCCCTCCCTAGGTAAATGATTTCAATGGATTTGATTGCAGGACAGTGTGCTAGAGAGGCAGTCAAGCTTAGCCCTTTTACCTTCACCTTCTCACTCTTAGTTTTTATAGCATTAAATTCCTCCCCTGCACGGCTGTGTAGATATCCCTCACAAAAAACCTCAAGAGGACATTTAAACTTTCTCACACCCTACAGTAGGCACAGGTTGTTAAATACTTGTCTGCAACAGGTGGTCACCCAACAGGCCCATAATGCACTGGAAACACAAATGAAGAGTTTAGAAGCGTGTATAAGTAGGATTCTGTCTCTGAAGTGACAATCAGTTCCTTACGTGAGCTTTCTTTTGGCTCTCTGCATGATATTAAGCCAATAGAGAGACCAATAGAATGCAACATTTCACATTAGTAAAGAGAGAGAACGTGCATCTGCTCAGCCTGTGGGCAGAGGGCAGGGGAAGGAGCAGCCTGCTTAGCCACAAAGTGTATGGGGCCGAGGGGAAAGGCAGCGAGCACATCCTGAGGAAGTGGTTGCTGGAAGGAGCTGCAGTCGATCTCTCTGCAGAGATCAGAGAGAACAAGAGTGATCAGTATTAACCCTGAATGCCATTTACAGGTCTCTAAAAGACCTGTCTGACCAGAAAGAGACTTGCCACTTGTTCTTGGCTTAAGAATGATGTGTGGGAAGAAGGGAAAATGTCAGGGAACCCTCAGAGCTCCGATAGGAATATGAAGGATCCCTCTGGAAAAACCAGTCAAGGTCACGGTTTAATCTATAGTGATTATCCTCTTTTACTGAGAGCACCACGGGCTTCTAATGGTACACTCAGCTGAACTCTCCAGAAAACACAGCAACTTGAAACTGTAAACAGCCTTTTAATTGTTGCCCTTTTCCCTCTACTTTGTTTATTTTGCCTTGGGTCAAAGTAGGTACAAAAATGCAGTCACCAAAAAAACCACCCGCAGCAAAAGCATACTTTAATCTTAACCCCTGAAGGAAGTTTTTGCTGAGGGATGCTGCAGAACATAAATCTGGTAACACATCATTTCACGGTTCAGAAATCAGCAGAGTATTATTCTGCCAGCACATGACAGGTCCTCGTTGCAAATCAGATGCATATGCCAAGAAATTCCTGGGCAATTAGAGTGATTACTTCCGCCTTGGGAACAAAAGATGTTAATGAAGAGCTAAAAAACACCCGTGATGTGATAATCATATTTGATTTTCAAAAAGGTTCTATTTTAAAGCAGCTGTAAAAAGGAGCTTCATGCCTATTCATCTTTCCCAAAAGAGAAAGTACAACCGATTGTGAGTGATCTGAACAATGGATCCCTAACACACAACCTTGTGCAGTGCAGCACAGCCAGTTGAGCTGGTGAAAAAACACAGAGCCTCCATAGAAAAGATGGGCTATTTACAGTTTCTCATCAAAAAAGTCATTTGTGCACCAACGCAAACAGGCATACTTGCAGACAGAGAGGGAGATTCAATGGTCTCTCTATATTTTTTCTGTGGAATAGAATAGAGCTTATGGTTTTTAAGGAGAAAGAAATGAAACCAATCACTGTTCATTCTTTGCTGTGTGCTGCTACTCGGAGGAAGAGATGAAGAGATCACATGCTAAAGATTGAATGCATTTTGAGATTACTTGGTTGGAGTGAAGGCCTGCCCCATGTGCTTTGCTGCAGGTACTAGTAATTAAGAAATTACAACTCTGGAAGCCAAAACTGGTTTTACTCCCAGAAGACTGCCAGTTTTGCAGCTGGAAGTAAGATGCATGCATGCAGATTTCATTCTTTCTTTTTTTTTTTCTTTTTTTTTTTCCACAACAAAGGGAAACAATTAGATCAAAACCATGTATATATCAAAAAATATCAATATCTGTCATTTTATATTTTGCTGCATTGCAGAATGCCATAAAATCATTAAGAGTCTTTGGATAGTTTCTTCAAATAGGTCTTACAGAGGTCCTACGTCCATCCAGCAGCAGGAAAAGCTGCCACTCAGGACATGTTTCTGAATGGTTTTAACCTGGTTTCTTGAACAGGCAAAGCTCTTTATGATTGTCGTCTGGGAAATGCTCATAAAAATCACAGTACACTTTCTGATCAAATTTTACATCCCAAACAATCTCTATTTGTCTACTTTTGTGCTCAAATTTGTAGAAATCCCCCTTAAGCCACTTCTGATTTACTGCAGTGATTCTACTCACCTACTATCTTCTTGAGAAAACTAATAGCAATATCTATGAACTTCCAATTGCAGTACTTAGCCTTCAGAGGGTCAAATGGAACTTGTCATACTTGACATAATTTAGTTGTAACTTAGTTAATACATGAAACATCAATTTCATTCCAATCTGACATGTATACTTCCAGATAGCTGCAATATGCTATCTTTTGAACTCATGTTAAGAGACAACAATCAAGCTTTACATAAAACTGTCAGTCATTGCTCAACAACCTCATTAGCACTGGCACTTTAAGGTACAGTTATTAGATCTCATGTTTTTAGTTCTCTAGGCAACAGGATCCTGGCATGAGCATTCACTTAGTTGTTTCACATCAATGAAAAACAGGTTTGCATGTTTTACAAGTCAGAACAAAATCACAACCTCTAAAGTTGTAATAGGGCAATCTTTTCTACTGGCAAAACACCTTGTGAGCCCAAAGCAAAGGTTCTTGTTTGACAGTCAAATGCAATCACGTTTGTTGACTTTCCTCAGAAACAGGACTCAATCTTCAGAAAGGTGGAAAGTCATTACATGCACTGTAACGTAAACTGAATGATGGGACTAGTTCTACTGCAGTATCTTACAGATACCATCATAATAAAAGTACTGCAGTGACAAGCTCACTGACCACTTGGAAGGTGCTTCAGCTCGTGTAACTTTACCCATCTAAAAGCTGGGAACCACAAAAGGGAACAGATCATAGTTGCCAAATTGTAGGTTCTCAGCTATAGGCTGCTGTGAATTTCAATTTCGAAAGCAAGTAAAAAATTACAGGAAACCAATTTCTATCCCTTTTGTTCTCTGACTTCTGTGAGTGCAGGAGTGTCTTACTGGCTTTACTGATCTGGAATTGGTCTTTACCAAGTATGAGGAATGGTTCCACAGAGCCCCTGCAGAAGCTGTGCCTGAGCAGCTTACCTGGAGAGTTCTGAGGCGAAGACACGGGCGAGCCTCGTGGGGACTGGCAATAGCTCGGATGAAGTAAGGCATGTGGCGGCACGTAGGACATGATCTCCTCCTCAAACAAGCTGGCAAAAAGGGCCAAATAAGAAATAACATGTTTATTTGAATGAACGGCATTTTTCACTTTCTAGGAATAAATCTCCAGTTACTAACTTGCATTCTTTGCTAGCCTATTTCCACTACGTACACTTAGAGTGCTACAAAATAGTTTATTGCCATTCCCTCAACCAGATCTTCAAAGTACTGGAAACCAGTAATTACTACTTCATTGGACATCACTATACATAATGTGGTATTTGCAAGGTCAAAATATATTCTATCAGCCTCTAAAATTTGTCCCTCCCCCCTTCTTTTTTTTCCAGTTGTGTTCTCATTTTGAAGAGGTCAATAACCTTAGTCACACTTTCCAGGAAGAAGATCTGCAAAACTGCACAAAGACCAGGAACAGAGGCAAACATTCTAAGCCTTCAGGATTAAGAATCACCTCTGAGCTTGTTGAGTGTATTGAATAGCAAGCTCGTTGGCATAAGTTATTTATCTTTTATGCTAGCACTGTTGCTGAAACGGGTATCACCTCTAGCCTCTTCAGGGTGAGTTACATCTTGGTTCATCTCTTATTGCCACACAGCTTGAAGAGAAAAACAGTAACCTTTTTGCAGCCTAATTGCTGCCTCTGTGTACATAGAGTTAGTATATATATTAAAATTTCATTTTTTTTCCCAAAATTGGCAAAAGCAAATCCAAAAAGAGACAGAAGATCTAATACAAGAAAGGATCTGATATCAAAGCCTATGTTGGATGTTAAACACAACACAGCTAAGAATAAACTATTGGGATAAAATGCAAATATTATTTTTTAAAATTAAGCTACAGAATCAAGCCAATCCACTACAAAGCTCAACTAATGCAAGCAATGTTAAAATAAAAGATGTTTCTTACTAAGTTTGTTCGCCAAACAAATAACTAGAAAAAGTTTTTGCATGGGATTTTTTTTTTTAATGGGTATTTTCCAGTAGTTGTTTTTACAGGCATGACTATGTGTTGCTCTCTTCCAAGTCACATTTTGATGCTGAAAATGTGGTAAAATATAAACCACTATTTGAATCTTGAATTAAAATGAGTTAAAATGATGATTTGTGTTTTATACCAAACAAGATGTTTAGAAGAAATCAAAAAATACTTTCCTCTTAACATCTGAAACATAATATAATGCCATTGTTAGAGTATTTTTAAACATGTGATGCATTGCCCTTCTGTCCCTAAGCACATAGGGCTTGGTTTATTTTTAGTTACCTACAACTTGATGTTTACTGAAGGACATGAAAAAATGTTGTGTTCCCAAGGAGAGAGCCCCTCACAAATTCTACACCAGTATTCACTCACAATAAGTTACTCCCAGTAACTCAGTCCAGTCTTTAGGATTAACATCCAACATATTAAGAAGGTAATGGATGAACAGATAACATTTTATCAATATGTCCTCAGGGCAATGGTACTATTAGATAATTAATAATATGGATAGGAAATCCTCAAGCAACACTTTTCAGTTAGACTTTTTTTTTTTTAAAAGGTTTGATTAAGAGAAATAAAATATGAAGAATATTATAAAGTTATTCCAGGGATGCACTGGCCAATATTTTTATCTTAATAACAGTTATACCAATTATTGCTTTTCTACAAAAGCAAGTTTTCAATCAAAATTTTGAATGTGTTTTATTTCCATTATAAGAACTATTTGAAGTCTTTGCTGTTAACAGAACACTGGAGGGAACAACACCCAGTCAGAAAGCAATGATAAAATCATTCATACAATCTTTCTTTAAAACCAAATAGCTGAGGCCAAAATTTTCTATGTAAATCTTGTGTCATCTCCATGTGTTATATATCAAAACAAAATCTTAAAAGATTTTTTAAGAAACAATATTTACATTTTAAAAAAGCTACAGCATGGCTTTAAAATGAGATCTTTTTTATATAGCTGTAATTAATTCAAAGATTGAGGGATCAGAAAGGATTATCATTATGCAACCTGACCTCAAAATACTACTACTAATGCCAATCACATTTCACTAGACTCAGTTTTAAATGGACTTGTGAATTTCTTGATGCACTTTTCCAATGGATGGGAATACAAAATCAAGATACAAGGGTTCAATTCTAGCAAAAAAAAAATCTGCCTATTTTTTGAGTTAATTGCTTAAATGAAAAATAGTAAAGAAGCAACTTCCCATTTGTTGAACTCTCTAACGGTATGCCCTTTATTAAAGGGGACAGTGCTTGACAGCACAGTGAAGAGACAGCAAGACAAAGTAATAAAAGCATATCTCAGGTATGAAAGCTCACAAATACAGACTTTCCAAACCACAGAACTAAACAGATGCATTCCTGAAGCAGCACAAGGCACATTCTTGCAAAGAGGTCTAAACTGTACCACCTATCTAAACATCAGAGCTGGATGCAACAGGACTACAAAAGGTGGTCTGGGCAAACCCATATCTGACTCTTGAGCTGTAGCTCTCCCAGCTGCAAGTCCAAGCACTGAAGGGGCAACAATTAGGTGACTAAATGAGCAGGCACTACTCACTGAAGGGCTCCCCAAGAGCTGCCACAATGTATTGCCCAGGTGGATCTCCAGCAGCAGAGCCTACCTGAGTAACATGACAAGGTCTGCATCGCTGGATAAACGCACCAGCCCAGGCGTCCCCTCTGTCCGGATGAACTGGATCTTCTCCCTGTGTAAGCAAAAAAGGAATTCCAAAAGATCTTTTGCAAATAAGGCAGCAATGTACACCACAGCAACAAGAAAAAGTACAGGGTATATCATAAAAACCTCAGGGGTAAGCATCTGTATTTCAGAAATCATTTTTTTTCCCCTTTCCACTCTATGTCCACGTGAGTAGCAAAATCTCACAATCAAAATGCTAATTTGTTCTGAGGAATGATTACCCTGTCGCCTTCATCTCTTCAATGCTCAGGGTGCTTCAGGTGCCATCCAATCAGAATATAAAAAATAATAATTAAAAAAAAAATAAAATCCTTCAAGTTCACTCTAGCTGTGCCCCTGAATTCAAAGTAGGAGGCTGAGCCCTGCGGGAGGACATGACTCTTCTGGAAGTGAGCTGTTTAAAGAGGTACTCCCTTTTTTGAACCTTTGCAGAAATGCAAGCCATACATGACAAGGCACCCCTGTGATTTGAAAAGCAGAGTTTTCACATCACATTGTGTTTAAGAGACCTTCCAGAAAACCCTTGTCCTATTTTCCTCCCACTGTCTGACACAAGCACACAGCCTTCCTCTCAGACCCAGTTGGGTCACTATTATGGAATCTGTGCATCCTAAACTCTGAGCATGGTAATAGAAAGATTTTTAGGATCTATGTTAAAAATAATTCCCTGGCAGATTCTTGTTCTTTTTCACTGTAGAGTTTTTTCTTGCATTTTAAAATAGAAGTACATCCCTTTTATTTTGTCTCTAACAGTACAAGGTGTATGATGGTACAACAGAGATAAATTCTAATTTGTCTTTACTCTTCAGGAAGAAAACAAAAACCAAACCCATGTAGAACCCGTGCAGTAAAAACTGTCCTAACTTCAAAGGAAAAAACCCCCAAACAAACAGAAGAGTAAAGAACACCCCATAAAACCAGCAGCACTGGCTCAGCTCAGACATCCATCTACCCCACTGTCTATTACCAACAGTGTCAAGAAGGTCAAAAATGACCCATGCAATCAGCACTCTAACAAGGCTTATGGCAGCTGCACAGTTTAAGCTGCAAGATGAATTTCTGGAACACATCATTTCATGCACAGCAGTTTCATCAAAAGGATCAAACCAAATTTCTTGCCATCTGTCTGTAAAATCACGGTGCATAAAGACCTTCTCAAAGAGTGGACCTAAAACACATTCCCTGCTAACTTGCACTACGTATTTAAAGGTGAAAAAGGGGCACAGCCAGGCTGTGCCCAGAGCCTCCCAGTCCCTGGACACTTACAAAGCCTACTCCAGCTTGCATCAGTGCCCAGCTGGCAAGGCTTGAGGAAAGAAATGGTGGATTACAGAAGATATCTTAGCATTTAGTTGGTAACACCACCAGGAACCAGAAAGATGTTTCCTGTGTGAACAAAGGTGTGAAGTCCCCCAAATGAATGCAATCTAAAGCTTCTTGGGGTTACTAAAGAGAGCTGTGATCCCAATGATAGTTTTTCAAATATATGGCTTTTACTTTCTGCTAGGATACAAATTATGTTTAATGTGTAATAGGTACCTTTGCCTGAAGCCTTTTATATTATTTTAACAGCCTCTCAGTTTTATCTGTGGTGGATTTCAACTAGATTTGATCCTGGCTACATGTTTAAAACCAGTATAAGTACAATGCTCTCACTTCACCATAAAAACCTCTGAACAATAATCTCCTACCTGTAGTATACTTTCACTGTATGTTTTTACAGACCCTCAACTTATCACATCTACTCATTCTTTTTAGGAATGAAATTTAGACAAAAAAAAATGTAAGACAGCTTTTCAAATTATCTCTGTCCTCTTCCACTGGCCAAATACTGATTTTTCTCCTTACCTATGTTGTTGTAGAAGTAGTAACAACAACAATAATTAAAAAAAATCCAAACATCATAATTCTACTTCAATTGCACTGAGGTCCTCAAAGAAACAGATTATAGATAGTTGTACTAATTGCTACACCAAAACAAAAAATGACAAAGGATTCATAATGCAGGATTTCACTTAGGTCTTAACTCAAGTGTCACAGCAATGTCATTGGAGATGCTTACTCTCACAATGTGTCAAATAGGCATGGATGCCAGTAAATTGCTAAATCAGGGTCTCAGAATACTAACTTGGAAAAATGAAACTGGGACCTGTATAAAAATAGAAGAAATGTTACTGAAGCATGATGTCTAGAAGAATATAGGAGAGCTATAATGGAAGATATTTTACCTTAATCATATACACTAACTTTAAAGACTAGGACTAGAATGAAGCCATTCAACTTAACAGGATGTCTGTGTTGATTAAAATTCTCAATTATTATGCTACAGCAGGTAAGCTAGATGTGTATCTTCAGTCTATTTATCAAGTAAGCCTGCAGAAGGCTACACAGTCTCAAGTAAATTACAAGTTATAGAACCAAATATCTTTTATCCTTTGATCTTCCTATTTTTAATCTGAAAACCATCTTTTCTTGACAAGGGCTCAGCTTGTGGTAAATTATGATTCTATAATCAGGAAGCAAGATTCTACAAGAAGCAGTAACTGGTTAATACCAGCAAGTCTCTTGAACAAGCTGAACTCTAAATTAATGAAAAAAAAAAAAAACAAAACACATGAATAAAATGAAACTGATTGCTATCAAGATTAAAGGAAGCCAAGCACCCTGGGGAAAGGAAAAAGGAATAATAAAACTACTAATAATCAGGAATTGTTTGTATATGATTTCCCAACAGATTAGCTTTGCTCACATTTCAAACCAAACCCACTGGGACAAACTTGCCTGTAGTGACATGGGTGCAGCATAGGAACTTTTTTGACAAGCTGAGAAATGTAGATTTTTATTTTCCTCCTTTTCTCTATATTTTCTAGAGAACATGCATTCTGCTGGTACACCATTTCAGCTTTGTCAGTCAGGATTTATTTAGAGGATAAAACAAATCTTTAACATTGAAGCCTCATCACAAAACTTGACAGAGCACAATGCTTTGGGAAGCTGCAAAACAGGGCAGCTTGTTGAATTTTAGGAACTTGCAGGACATGGAGGAAAAGGGATCAATAAGTAACACTATGAGAATGGAAAAAAAATGGAAATCACTGCTGGCTCCCACACCAGTACATGAACTAAAGCATCTTTGTGTGGGGTACACTTTAAGAGGTATCTTGCCACTTTCTGAATTTCACTTTTTATCATTCCTAGTCAAAGCATATGAGGGAGTTAAAACAACCATATAATAAGAACATCCATCCTCACTGGACTACGTAAGAACCTGTAGATATCCATTTTAGTGTTTCTCCAAAATCCACAAACATTCTGACTGATATAATATTATTTCCAGTGTAATTAGGTCATGATAGCCTTTCTGTAAATGTGCATTGAGAAGATAAGGACAGAACAAAAGCCATTCTGCCTCACACTCCCAAGCTGTACACATACAAAAATGGGCACATTTGCCGTGCCATCCAGCTGTCTTGGCACATTTTGAAGACCAGCAAATCTCTCATACCAGTTGTTCCAAATAGTTTCTTGTAGGTATCTTTATTTAGAAGTAACACACTAGCTCTGTTCTCCTAAACCTTATTTTAGGGCATTACATAGTAATAGAACAAAGAACTATCTCCCACAGCTTTATGAATATGTTTGAACAGGCCAAAAGTCTCCAATTTGTTATTTTCCACTGCTAATTTTAATGAAAGAAACTAATTCCAATTAGTATTTTGTATTGAAATGGAAGTAGCCAACTTCACTGATTTTATTACCTGAGTGAATGATTCCTGGTAAGATCTGGTTGACGTTCTTGTAGAATTTCAAAGATATTGGGTTGCCGCAAAAATGCAACAATCTTGTCATTGTAAGCTGAAAACACCAACAAAAATATGCTGAAACAAGTTGAGACTAAAAGACAGACTACATTCCTTTTGAGTTTTGAACAATAATGCCAGCAGACTTCATCTTCACAGTTCTAAGTTTAGCAGTACTGAGTTAATACTTTTTTTATGGAAGATTATTGATTCTACTGTTGTTTAGGGAACATGCTTCTTGATTATGAATCAAATCTCATTGTGACACATCCTTCCAACTATTAACATCTCTAATTCTGTTAGCAACTTCTATCTCTTTCCCAAGGTCAAACTAGACTATTCATCTCTAGAACAAAATTGCAGGGACCTTGGTTTGCTCTGCACTGAAATCCCTTCTCAAGCACTGAACAGTCATTGGAAACACCCATATCAAATCCTCACTAATTGCTGAGCCTGCAGTGTATGCACACCATGTCCATGGCAGGGGAAGGATTTAAATTAGCAGAGATTTCCAAGTAAACATGCCACAGTACAAAGAGCCAGTTATAGTCAATCGGATTAATTTATCTTGATTTAGCACAATGTGACAGCTGTTAGATTCAATAAGCTAAATTCTGTCCTTGGTGGCACAGAAGCCAGTAACTTTGTGTATGTAACTGAGAACAGAAGTTAAGCTAATGACTAATTCCAAGCTGATTAACACTTTCTGGAACCCTGCCAAAGCAGATGCTCAGAAGTTGTACAAAAATCACTGGGAATACACAGAGTCCAATTAGGACACAACTTGGCCCACTGGCTGCAACTCCTCCTGTCGCTGTGTAGAGTAAGTGAGCTAGGAAGGTGGAAGTTTTACATCAGTTATTTGGTTCTGCACAGACACTGTTCAGTATTATTCCTCCAGGCTGCAACTGAACAACTGGGAAACGCTGATGATCAGAAGGAATCGTAACAAACGATAACCTCCACCCACCCCAACCAAAACCCAGCAGTGCACATTGATGTCACACTCAGTCCTGGAGAACTTCTCTGAAAAGAGGCCACGTGCTGACATACCCACTGGAACCACATCCTGGTACTGGGCTCTGCTGACTGTATTAAAGGTGCTCGATGGTCTTGGCAAAACCGGTGGTCCTGAATGACGGGAGTCCTCTCCGACCTGAGAACGTGCAAGGAACCACAATGAGTGTCTCCATCCCAGCACACCCACTCCAGTGCCCAAAAGTGACAACTCACATGGCTTCAGACTAAGCATGTACATACATGCTCTGCTTGATCACTATCCCCAGGAGCCACTGCAGGAGGAATCAGCCGTGTTGTATGACAGGAGTTAGTGAAACACCCTTTAGTAGTTTGTACCTATCGATATGAAGAATCAAATGGGATTGAAAGTTTATTGCTATTTTTAACTCACAGTCCCAGTCTAAACAAGGACTATGAATTTCTAGGTGGGATTCCTTCAGAGGGTCTCTTGTACTTCACTTTATCCGTATCAAAGGATCTGAAAATCAAATTCTGCTCCTTCCTTAGCACCTCAGCTATCACTGTGCCTACATGGAGCTTCTCTACATCTGAACTGGAAGTAAGTCTGTGGCTGAAACAGGAGGCTAAAGAAGCCAGTTCACATTCAGGCAAGGCAAGTGAGTCCAAAACTGCTAAAAACATGTTTCCTACAGTGATTCAGTAAAACTGTTCTGATTTTTTTTTTTTTTTTTTTTTTTTTGTGTTCACCCTCTGGGATTAAAAAATGTTGCATATGAACATTTTTTAGGGTAGAACCACAATGTAAAATTATCCCTGGCAGCATTTGTGATGTCAGGACAACTTCTGCAGTTCCCTGTGTGCTGAGACTTCAGTCATTTCTACACTGTCAGTACTTTCTATTTTCTAAATAAAACATTTTGTTCAACCTCTGTTTTATCCTGATGGACCTTTATATTTACTTCTCAGTTCCTCTGCCTACTTCTAATGGTTAGCATTTGAACCACACTTCCAAGCTTCAAAGATCTCTAAAACATCTAACTGCAAAAGACGGAATAATTATGATGGTTATTTTTAAATCCAGTTTCTGAAATCACACAGAAGCAGAAGTCCTGAGATATCTCCCAAGATCTCCATGTTCTCTGATAATACTTTCTGAGAAAAATTAAAAATTATTTCCTGTAGGCACTATGCTGGAAAAAGAATGCCACTATTATTAGCTCCAGCTTCACACAGCAGTTCAACTTTAACAAAAAAGTCATTCCTTACACCAGTTGCTGTATGCTTTACAGCACATCCTTGTGAAAACCGAGCCAGTGGCTTCAAAACATTGAAGTTCATGGCAAGGCAAATCCAAAGGAAGTATTTTGAGAATTTTTTTCCTTAAGTATTAATCTTAATACTATTGCAATAATGTACAGTTCCTTGCTACAGTGGTTTAAAAATAGGAAAATTAGCTGCAAATATGCAATGCTCAAGTCATAAGCACTAAATAAACGTGGTGATCAAATCCATACATATGCATGTAAATGAACTTGATTAATCTCAGAATGGGGATACTTGTTCAAGTTACAGTTGTAATAACAGCAAGGAAATACTTCTAAAATTTTGTGTAGAAACATGGTTTAAGGAATTTTACCTACCTAGATGGAGTAGGAAATTTTGACAGGCAATCAGCACCGTGTATGTGCAATATATATGATGACTCTGTGGGATAAACTACACTTATTTTGCAGTATTGACAACTTCAGCAGCACGGTTGGCAAGAACCTCTCTGTTTGAAGTGCAGAGCGTCTGCATGCTGCTTAAAAAAAGATAATTTCAGTACATGTTTGGTAAAATTAAGGGAAAAAAAAATTTTCTGCTCTGTTATAGATCAATCACAACACATATACTTGTTTTAGTCTATCAAAGATCTCAACACCTATATGAAGACACTTCTAGCTTCCTTGCCTGCTGTAAGACATCACTGCCTGCATCACTTCACCAAATTGACAGAAAATGCTTTTTAAAAACATTTTTAAAAACATTTGTGATATCTTTTACTGGGGATGGGGAGTGGAAAGTATCAGGGGTGACTAAACCCTATTCACACAGGGTATGACAAGATGTGCAACCAGTGGTATGGCAGTCACTTGCTGCAGCTCTGCAAAAGCTCTGCTGGGGAAGTGTCAGAGAAGATTCATGCTTGCTCTGACGCAGACCTCTGGCAGGACTTCTTCTGCCACAAGACCGAGCTATAAAAAGGATAAATCAGAGCATTCCTCTCACCACTCTAAATTCCTGGCATAGGACAGCCCTCCCATGAAACAACAACTTGCAGCCAGCAGTATGGAGTTTAAGTAAAGTACAACTGGAGTCTAAGTCATTGTACATACACTTGCTCACAAGTAAAAAGAAACTACAAGAAGAAGATGGAGATTGACAGTGAAAATGGTCCACAGTGATATATCAACAAAACTGTGTTTTCCATGTATTCCTGTTTAGAAAGCAGAGATGAAGTACATATGCAAATGCATGTAACAGCTTGATAGACCTATGAGTGGTAAGATTATTTTCATACTGATTTGGAAAGTTGCACGTAGAGGTGTATGTACACACATGCACTTTTTTCCCCCTCTTATTTGCTGAGTTGTATCAATGTAATTGGTAGACCCCGTGCTAGACCACAATACGTATTTCACCAGCAACAGACAGGCTACAGATACTGGTAATGTGTATTCACATACTCTCCTGTGGTTAAATGGGGTTACTGCAAACTAAAAGAGAACCTCATGTCTGATATTTTTCCTCTGAAATCACACATTTTAAAAGCAACAGCTGCTAGCAAATAAAAGAATGAATCTTTACGGATGACTACCGTGCACTTTACAGAAGCCTCACGCTCCTCACAGGATGGCTTGTGAATGGAATGATGTGAAAGAAGGTGACCCTAAAGCCCTGGTGGCTGCTGAAGGGGAGGGGCAGGTCCCACTCACCTCGCCGGCGCTGTGGCTGCGCTGCCTGGTCAGGTGCTGCCGATGGACTAAGGCGCTCGTGGGCCTGCTGCTCTGCAAGGGGAGCCGGGGGTCGATGAACGTGGTGGTGCGGGAGTTGTGGTCGACGAAGAAAGCCTGGAGAGGGAGACACAAGAAACTGCTCACAACAAATTCTTTTTAAAAATATGCCAGCGGTTGATGCCTGTTCAGGATCCAGGTTTCATTCACTGAAAATCCTCACCGTGGCTTGCATTTCCCTTCTGCAGAAGGACAGCAGTTTTCCATCTCACTGAAGGGATGAATTCTTTTTACCTTGCTCTATTTGTGTCTATAAAACCCTTTGACATTCTCATCTGATAGGCATCAGAAGTAGGAAGCTTTATAATGACTGTCAAGAAGAGAGGACTTAAACGTTCAGTAAATTAATCCCAGTGTATTCTTCCTTTCATTTCCTTATAAGCATCTAAAAAGATGTCATTAAGTGGCAAAAGCATTCCCTTTTGTGAACTATTTACCATATAATTATGTACACAATTGGGTGTATATACGTCAAGCGTATGACTGCATCCTGTGATGAACTCTAATTAGAGGCCAACAAGGTGTGATCCTCCTGATAAAACTATTCTATGGTCACTAACCTTAAAAAAAGAAGTTAGGAATACAGAGATGATGGCAACAAACATTTAAACCAGGCAACGGGTGAGAACCAACACATACTGGCCAGTCAGCCATTTGCTGAAAGCAATGTCACAGGAGCATGTAACCTCAAAAATTAAAACCTCCTACAATTCCACCCAATCTGAACCAAAAAGGTTTCTAAGCCCTGAAATTTAAACTTTTACCAGTGTTAGTATTGCACTTGGAAACCAGCACTGCTCTATTTCAACACGCTTTGCTTTTTTCAGTCACAGTGCTGAAAACATGTGGAAATGGCAAAAAAAGAGCCCAGTTTGGAGCAGGAGAGTTACAGGAAAGCGACATCTGGTTTGAGGAATTAAAGAATCTGGACCAGCAGAGAGGTGGTCAGGGGCTGCGGGAGCCATTTCTGTGTTTGGATACCAATGAGATACTTCAACCACAGTTTCACAAACAATTCAGCCCTGCAGCGTCAGCAGAAGAAACATTCTCATCTTCCCCCATCCTGACCACTTGTTGTATCCCTTTGCACCCCCTTCCTGCCTTCTGCTGGCACAAGTGTTTGTGTAACCACGCAGTGAACCCAGCTGAGGAGCTGGTCCAGGCTAAAATTACTCTCTTTTTGTCCATCTGCTTGCTGGTTCCTCTAACCTCACTCGGCCCACCAGGGACAAGAAGAGAGCAGAACTGGCTCTTTTGGCAGTAACACCAACTTAAGAGTATTCATGAAATCATTGTTTCAGACTGCTTGGTATAGCCAGACTAAAGAAAATGCAATTCTTCCAACTGCAATGAAGGCAGGTAGACAAACCAGTGTGTCATGTTGTGCAGCAACTAAATACCATTATGGATTGTGGCAGGAGAAAACATTAATGCTTCCATTTTCCAAGGCAGGAGAAGCACATGGAGGGATACCAAAGTTGCAAAACCTCAGAAAAGCTCCAGAAGAGGGCAGCAAGCCTCCTACAGCCCCAACAGTGACAGTCTGTACCTGTAACCTGTACCTACAAGCAAGGAATCACGTTAACTGAACAATAAGGAAGGACTCTGTTTTGATCATCTGACATAGTTACAGACATGCAAGTGAAATTGACTGTTCCAAAGTTCAAAAACTATAAAATGCATTCAATAAAAGCAATTTTACATTTAAATCTGATGCAGGACTTGTTCACCTTGACAAATAATTCTGTCACCTGCAGCAAAAGTATACAGATTAGAGAATATGAAACCAGCAGGAAGGAAGAGTGAAAGCCACTCTGAAATTTCAGGTTTGCACTTGGAAAATGACTGGAAGAGGCTGCTGGGACATCTCAAAGCTCTCTGAAAACCTTCTTCCTGATTGCTTGCTTTATTCCACCTATTATCAACAGGCTGGTATATGTGGTTTTTTACTGTTCCTCTAGCTACTCTGGTCTAGGTGTGTTTATTCATAAGATGTGAAGCACTTAAAACAAAACAAATGTTATTTCATTAAGTCAACACTATACTGTAAAACCACTGAGGAAAAAAAGGCACTGATTCAATATGAGAAAAATACTACCTACAGTTGTGCTACACAACAAATTTTTGAGTGAATGCAGCAATCTAATATTCCATGTACTGTTCCTTAGCATTACAATTAAATAAACAACTCAGTTTAAACATTAACTTAAAGACAATCATGTCTTATTAAATATAAATGCTTGTAGGCCAGCTAGTAGCAGTCTAAAAAAAAGCCTAAATCACTACTCTGAAGCTTTGGTGAAGATAATCTTTGGAGCTTCAGGGCTTTCAGCAAACCCTGACACTGGCACACAGCTCAAAAAAACGTGTGGCTCACAGCCTCCTTTCAAAAAAATTCCTCTCGTAACTCCTGTCTAGCTATTATCCCTAAATCTATGATGCTTAAAGAGACTGAGACAAGATGGGTAGTGCCAAAACTACAATAAGCCCATTAAGCACAAATAGTTGCTCGTTATCTTCCCAATTAAAGCCTAACAAGCTTGCTAAAACACCTTCTTTTCCTATTGAAAACATTAGTAATCAATAAGCATGTCTTGCAGAGATTTAATGAAAAATATGCACATTGCATCTGGTGTTCAAATATGAACATGTGCTCACACACTGCACAAATGCATTGGGGAACAGAATTTCAAAGTTATGAGACCAAGTTTAGTTCAGGGACCTAGCTAGACTCTATGATGCTTCCTGCCACCACCTTTTCCAGTGGTCTTCTGCTTCCCTGTGGTCAGTGGCTGATGCAGCCAATCAGAAACTATATCCCAGTTATGTCAGACCTTTCAGGGGGAGCTGCCAAATAGATTCTATCTTCTGTAGGGGATGCACAGAGGAGTCAGAGGAGTGGGAAACTGGGCTTTGCTGTAGAGCTTTGAAGGGAGTTCAGAGGCAAGCAGTCCCCAGCTAACCTTGGAAGACAGCCTGCAAAGAGGACAAGCAACCATGACTGCACTGACACTGGGGAATAAAAACTCTACTACCCAGCACTGCATAAGGGTCAGAATGATCACTGTGCCTTGTGAGCAAGGGCACCAAGCCTCTTGCTGTGATATACTTGGAAAAATAAAGGAAAACCTCCTCTCAGCAGGGAGGAGTAGCCATAGCCAGGGAAAGGAAATATAATTATCTATTGTGACATGGTTAATTTCTACTTGCTTCTCTTTAGTTTTATGCTTTAATAAAGGCAGATCCAGTTTCAGTTTGGTTTCATCAAGCACTCACCATGTACTGGCCATCATCTCTCTTGAGTGCTGGATACACTTCTATACTGGCCACAAGTGCTCCTTGTGACAAAGGCAATTCAATAATGAACATAAGGAAAACAAACAATACTAAGCCTAATCCAAAGTGAAGAAATCCCAGTGAGGACTTATTCAGTGCCTCCTCTTATTGATTAATGTTGTGGTAGCATCACTGTAACCAAATACCACACCAGAAATCCAAAGGCCTAATTCTCTCCATGGACTGCCTATTAAAGTCAATAGGAAATCACTGTCTTCTCCAGGAGGAAACTGGCTTCTGGAGAGCAGAACAGAAAGAGAATTACTTAGAGAAGAGTGAGGGAGGCAAAGAACAAGGTCAGTATAATTGCTCATTCCTAATTGTGCTTCTAATGAAAAAACACAGTGCTTTCCAGAGCTGTTAAACTCAAGAAGAAAACACCCCTCAAGCTCTACACTTCAGTTTAGACTCTGTCTGTAATCTTTTCAAGCATCAAGATCATTATTTATAGGGACACTTACAGTTAACTGTACCAAGATAGACAAATAAGAACTGAGGAGCTTAATATGCCTATAGTCCCAGTTAGGACTTCTCACATGAGCTGACAGCCTTATCACTTCCTCACATGCTAATCACAGTCTATTTTTAACCCTCTTATCTTCCACAAAGAAGATCATATTCAAGATAATGAGGATATACTAGTTTAAAGTTATATTAAAATTACATCACTACAATAAAAATGTCTGTTCTTTGACTTTAAAAATACTTTGTTATAAATTGAAAAGTGATACCTGTTTTGAAAAGTAGCAGGACTTGCAATTATCCAAGTACACTGTTAATGAAACTAAAACACAGAGGTTATTTATTTCCTGTTAACCAACACATAATCAATAGAATGATCACCTCCAGAACTATCCCAGTCTTAGGTTCATCCATTTTATCTCAGGAACTGATGATCTCTGGATCTACTCTGGATCTACTTACTTAGCACTTGGGTAGGGGACTCACCTAGGAAAATGGTTATCTATTAATGAAGTGCAAATAATGCACACTAATGAACCCCACTCAAGATCCTGAGGTTGAAGAAGAGGGGGGGAAGAAAAGCTCTAAGGAAAAGCCCAAAAGTTAAACAAGAAAATAAACTAACACAAAAGATTCAACAATAATTAAATAAAATTCATTAGATAATAATGAAGTAACTTTATATCTAAATTATCTTATGAGTACACAGGTGAAACTCCCAAGAACTTCACTGAACTGCCTTCAGACAGTAGGTAAATTCTTTTCAAAGGAAGTCTTAAACATCCAAGGGAATCCAAGCAACTTATTTAATTGTAAAAAAGCTACCAATCTTCTAGCTATTTTCCTTGTAATGATTAATAACCCTTATTAGTCTCCTTCTCCCTTCATATAACTTTGTCAGCAGAGACAAGAAACTCCAATCTTCTTTTGGCCAAAGCAGGAGAAAAGGCTGCTCAACTTGTACCTCTGGAGAACTAAGCTCACTTCCACTCCTGTTAAAAACCCCCGAGTCCTGGCATTGCAACAGCAAAGCCCTGGGCAGAGCCAGCTGTGCCTCCCACTTACCTTGCCCTGATGGTCGTGTTTCATTTCCCAGCCTCTTGGCAGCTCCAGCTGTTTGTTAGCAAACATGTTGAGGAATCCCACCAGGTCACGGTTGTGCTGGTAGCGCTCAAAGTGGTGGGTGTCCCGCCGAACTTTGGTGATCATGTGCTTCAGACACGTGTTGTTTGTAAACATGCGGTAGGCACTCTGCCAAGCAAACAACAAAAAGAAATGCATTTAGGGGAGCAAATTTCTTCTTGCAACAAAAGACCTTCCCACTGTAAAGAAACCATCCGATCGTCTATAAAAACCTTACAAATTATTTCCGGCGAAGCTGCAAAAGTAGGGGAAAAAAATGCTCCTCTTTCTGAGGTTTTGGGATAAAGGTTTGATGTTTGGCTGGAGATATACACACTTTCATGACTGACTCACTTGAGCAAAGTGTGAAATGTATTACAGGGTCCATTTGCCACACTTGGCCCTGGAACTGTGAAGAATCCTGTAACATTAAAATGGCTTTAAAAGTAGAGATTTTTAGTAATTTTCAGTGGATTCTAGAGAAACTAGAGATTTCTAGTCTCTGGAATAATGAGTCAAATGCAGCCATGGAATACAGCAGTAAACCTGGTAAGGTTTTCTGCAGGACAGATATAGATAAGTTTGTAGATTTTACCACAAGTCTACATAAATATGGTTTCCACCTGTAGACTTTTAAAAAATACCCTATCATTCCATGTCTGTGTGTAAATTATGTAATAAAATAAAGAGAATAATAGGTAAACAATGAATAAAAGGAGTAAAATAAACAGTTAACACCCTTCCCTAAAAAAAACAAAACAAAACAAACATCCAGCCAGCAACTAGGTCCTTCTCTTGGGATCAGCAATAGACAGAAGCCAAGCTATGGGCCCTCCTATTGCACTGTCCTGCTGCCAAAATCACTCTGTGCCCCTACATCTCTACTCTCTGGCCAGAGATCCTACATACCTCTGTCCTGTTTCAGGTATTCAAGATAAAGCTATGCAAGCTAAGCAGTATTATTCAGCTACAGACAAGCATGCATACATATCCAAATCAAACTAACACTGACCAGTAATTTAAAAAGCATTGATTTATTAACAAGTGTACTTGCAGACAGTAAATTATTCATTCTATTACTTCTGTTTACACTATAAATCCAATTACAAAAAGGAAAAGAAACAGAATAAAAAACCAAAAACCAATATAAGAAGCAGTGCTGAAGAACAGGCAAAACAGAAAAGGAAAATACATACTAAGATGTTTTTTTGCTCAGGGCAACTATAACATATTTTGTTATGAACCAGGCAATCTGGGGGAAACAAATCATTCAATAAGCAGCAAAGTGATTCTTAAGAATCATTTACCCATCATTTTCATTCTCAGGATTTTCTCTCACTCTCTGCAAAGCACAGTAGGAAAGCTATTGCTTCGATAAACACGTGAGTTTTGCAAAATAAGAAAGATGAAGATTTGAGTGCCAAGTAAAAACTGTAGGATCTGTAATGCCAGTGAGGATGACTGATAGCCCACCAATTGCAAGGAATGATGATGAGTGTTCAAATTTTCTCACCCTCCCTATGTATTACCAATATCTTGGCATCAAACACTGAGCGTTATCTTTGCATACAAGACATCTATATTTATAAGCATGTATTTATGAAAGTATTTCAGCTGTAAACACTATACTCACAGGGTTAGAATGCAGCACTGCAAAGAACTCTGGGCTGATAAGGAATTTCACAGGGGGAGACTGGAGCAATAAAGTAAGTCTGGATCTGGAGGTAGAGTGAGGCAGCACATTCTCTCTTCGAAAATCTAACAGCAAAGTGAATGACAAAGAATCAAAGTGATAATCGTTAGCCAAACATCACTGCAAACAACTAGACTGAGCTGAATCACACAGTCAAGAAAAGCACTAGGTACACAACTATTTCAGATTCAAGTATTTTCCATGTAAGTGTACCTGAATTTCTTCTAACATAGCACTGACATTCCTGAAAATATCACAGGTTTAGTTTAGTAATTTCTACTTGTTGCTTTCAATGAACAATCATTAAACAAAATCAAGTCTAATTATTTGGGTTGCCAAACAAGTGCCTATGGATAAGGTGCAAGAAGGTCCCTGTGTCAATTCTACATTGCTATACTGTAGCTGTATGCAGATAGTTTGTTTTTTAAATGATAACTAATGGATATAAAAGTCATTGTATGTTTCAGTGTTTTGTTCCTTCTTTAAAATAAATAATAATTTAAAAAAATAATAAATCACTACCATTAACACAGCCCCAGTCCTGATACAGCATTTAAGCATCTTATGTAAGTAAGAAACAGGTTGCCAGGGAAGTACCTTTCAAGCTTCAACTTTCAGTAAACATTTAGGTCTTCTCCTGGCAACTGCAGAAGTGCACTTATTTTTCAACAGTACAAGGAACTGGAAATATATTATGAGTGGTATTTGCTACAGAGTTAAAACTGCTTCCCCCATTTATCTTTAAATATCAACAGGACATGTGGATGCCTATTTTAATGTATATTAACTGCAAATTCAGGTTGGGTCTGCAGTGACTTTACTCTAAAATGAATGCCATCTTCTACATTTCACACTTTCTTTTACATATCACAGTACTTGCAGACTTCCCTATCAAATGAACATTAATCATGTAGAACACAGCTATCACTGATATAAAAGAGCAAACATAACCCACAGGCAGAGAAAGGAGAAGAGAGCCTGTGAATGAGACCCTAGGCTAAGGGAAAAGTAAGAAGAAATTAAAAAAGAGGAGGAAAAGAACAGAATAAAGCTGTAAATATGGGTAGGTAAACATTATGGAAAAGAGGGAATTGGGAAAATAAAGATGTGCTTTCTAAGTGTTTGAGGGAACCTGAAAATGAAAAGGTAAGAAGTAAAAACAAGTGAAGAGGATTTTTAGAGACACTTCTTAAACAAGAGAGCCCAAGCCCTGCCACATGAGGCACATCTATGGAGCAACAGTGGTGCAGCATAAAGCCCCCTGAAGCTGTGCCTGAATACTTGTGCTGGGAGTGTCTTCCAGGCACGCACTGCGGTTGCACGTCAGCTCTGCACTGGTACAAAACCTGGGTGGGTGTGCACCAGTCACTTCTCACACCCTGGAAAAGTGCTGTCACACGATGCAGATAGGTCCACTCTCCAAGTCTGGGTTTTGTGGAAACCAGAATGGGTCACCAGGTGGGATTTTCTTGCAGTTTAGTGGCTCATGAATTTGATTTATGAAAAGCTTATTCCGCTGAACTTGCCGATTAGGGTTTAGCCTGAATGGGCTTTAAAATCCTTTCTTTACAGCACAACAAACCATCTAGCTACACATCACCTGCACCAAGGCAGAAAAGGAAAAGGCTAAGGCAGAAGTAAAGAAATAAAGGTGGCACTTGGTTAAATTCTGAGTTCTACAATGATTCAAAACCCAAGAAAGGGTGACGTTACTTGTGTACTAGATTAACTTAGGCAAGTGTTCTAAGAGAATATCAAGAGCATCTAGAGACAAAGCTAAAGCACATAACACAACTACACAAGGGACTGGATGGGTATCTTACTATACATGTGTTAGCAAATGAGCAGTAGAAAAATGGTTGAGGAGAGAATGCTTAGTGAGAGGAAAAACCAGTAATGATGCTTTGAGCTCATGAAAAAGACCTTTCCTTTTGTCATCATTCAAAAAGGTAACACCAACCAGATGAAGCAAAAAGAACCCTTTTCTTAGGCTAGAACAGGTAAAGAACAGGTTAAAAAACTATGGTGCAAATCCGAAGTTTTTAAACTCTTTGGGCTGGAGGAAGTGTATTCCAACACACTTAGGAAACCAGGTGAAGCAGCCTCTGAGACACTGGTGGCTATTTCAGAGGTCTGCAGGAGTTCTCACAAAAAAAAAATAATTATATCCACTTCTAAGAATAGGTATTAAAAGATGAGGGAAACTATAAATGAGTTGACATATTTTCTATTCTCAGGCACATGAACTCATTGTCAGACTATTTAAAGAAACAAGGAAACAGAAAGGTAAAGAAACAAAAATAACGAGAATTTCTGAAGAATGAATCACAGCAAACTAAGGCAGTTATTTTCTACTGCTCAAGTGGTGTAAAGGCCACATATTTTGATATTAATAAGGCCTTTCATACTGTTTACATGATTTTCCCAGCACCATGTTGGGGGATAAAATTACCTGAAACAGATGAAACCACCTGGAGAGGGGTATACAGCAGCTTGCAAAAAGATAGTGAAGAGCAGTTAATGATTTATGTCAAACAAAAAGAGTACAGCAGTGATGTTTGTTTCACTGAGATCTGTCTGGGTCTGGACCTGTTCACTATTTCTGACTGGACAAGGAGGCCAGAACCTGATCCAACTAGGAGATGCTGCAGTACTTGGACAGTAGGATGGAGAAGATTCAAAACCATAGTAACACTTTACATGGAGTCTCCTTCTCTGGAGACTTTGAAAACCAGCCCTGACATACTCCTGTGCAACCTGCTCTGGCAGAGTGTTGGACTAGATGATCTTCAGAGGTCCCTTCCCACCCTACCATTCTGTGATTCTGAGATTAAAAAAGTGCAAAGATACTGTGTGCAGGCAGGGATAAGCAACTGCACAAACACCAGAGGAAAAACAGACATCTGTGTCAAAGATCTGCACCCAAGGGCCTTGACCTGATTTTAGCAGATCGAAGACTGAACAGTGGTGGTTAGTGCAGGAATGTACAAGGAGAATTGTACATAAGATGTGACATTTTTGAAATCTCTTCAGCACAGCAGAGTCATAGCTTTATTTAATTTTCTGAAATATTTCTCAGAAGCCACAGATCAACTGAAGACAACCCTGAGTAGGCCCACAAAATAACTGTTGACCTAACAACAAAAGAGATGAGGAAAGATGACAAAGTAACAGATTTAAGAATATATTATACAAGAAATTATATGAGTAGACTGGTTAAAAAAGTTACAGTGTCCATCAACTGGAGAATAGGTTGTAAGAACACATGAGAGAGCATTTGCCAAGTGTGGTTTAGGTACAGCTCATCCTGTCTTCAGCACACAGATGAAGCCAGTAACTTCCCAACATCCTTTATAGTCCTATATTCTACCAGTTCAAAACGCAGTTACAGATTCAAAATATTTGCAATCCAGACCACAGTCCCACACTTTTTCACTGCAAATGTCCTGCCTATGTTTTTACCCTGCCAGGCACTGACAGAAGAATGCTCTGAATCTCACATTCACTTCTTCAGGGTATTGAACAGGCTGAGCCACAATCTTAAAAAACTGAACAGCAATGATAACAAATGAGTTCACTTCCACTCAGATTTTCTGGGGCAGAAGTTAGATTCTGTTTTATGTCCCCCTCCATAAATTATCTATGACATAAGAGCTCACTTTAGAGGGGAAAAAAAAAAAGAAAGCAACTTTTTTTTTTTGTTTTTAACCTGCATTAGAATGGTGAAAGTCAGTTTCTTCTCCAGCTCCATCCACAGCATTTGTATGCTCTTCAGGCCTGTCATTAGTCATGGTTCTTCGGATGCTCTGGTACCTAGGGTTAGAAAACTGGACTTTACATATATTATATGGCAACTGTGACCCAATTCTAGCTCCAAGGGAGCTTGTCTTTTCTGCCATGGATGTTAACACACATTGATCTCCAATTTATACATTAATAAACTTTTGAATTTCTGAAAACCATTATGAAATTTTGGTTTTTACCCAGATAGTTTATGAACACAAGTGGAATACAAAAGCCCTAGAAGCCCACATGCAAATGAAAAGGGACAGACACATAAAAACAAACACATCTGGTCAGCTGCAGTGGCAACTGTGACCTTGTGTCCACCCTCACTCAGCCTCACAGCGGTGAGTGCAGTCGTGCAGTTCTCACCTCAGCTGCTCCATCTGCTGTATGGAGTTGGACCTCTGCAGGATCTGTGGGGCTGGAGGGGCTGTGGGGCGTTGCCATGTTGTTGTCCTGTTCACGTGGTCCACGTAAAAAATCCGACCATGGCTGTCGATTCGAGCCTCCCAGTCTAAGCAGCAAGAGAACACTGTGAGCTATGAAGGGCTTGGGGCTGGTTTATTTCTTAACTTCAGCTGGGCACTTCTAGAACTGAATACATTGCTTCAAGTTTCTATTTCTCTTTTACAGGATGACTTCAGCACAGAACTTTCTTACAGAAGGGTTAAGAGATGTGGCTTTTCCATTTTATCCCATAGATCAAATTCCCCACTGTAGGTAAAGTGCTGTGGAATCCATATCTAATAATTTCTATTCTGTCTCCCACTAACCAGTAATTGTCCCAGGGACCAAAAAAAAATTCCACCCAAAACGCCCACAAGCAATCAAATAACCACAAACAACCAAACAAACAATAAATCAAGATACTTAACCTAACTCTCTTGGACTGAAGTAATTCAAGATCCAATCTCTGAAGCTTATTCCAGTGCAAAAGGCTAATGGATAAGTACCAAAAACCCTGCAAAGCTTGACAACTGTCATTGGGGTTTTTTTCCCAGCTAATAGCAACAATAATAAAATAGATGCCAGTGCTCTTCTACATGTGCCTATGGTAAGAGTAAGGAGAACTGGCAGAAAAGATGGACAATTACAACAGTAAAACTCCTTCATATACTAAGTGTATGTCCCAGAATTGCCAACTGTGCAAACACCACAGCAAATTCAACTTCCTGTGCAAGGGGTAGCTATTATGCTGTCTACTGGTGTTCTAAATTTGAAATACAAGTTGAAAAATAAAATTACACCAATGCAAAGCTTATGGCAATCACAGTATTTGCTCTTCAAAATAGAACACATTTCAAAATTATTGAAAAAATAATTTAATTTGTATCTCAAAAAAAGAAAACTGAAACACTTCAACATTCTCTGAAATGAGAATTTCATTCCTTCCATTTCCATTTTTTAAAAAGAACAGAATGTTTGAAAGCAATGTTTCTGTGCACAGGTCCCATTTCAATAAAGTAGCACCTTCTGATGAAATAAAAATACTCAAATTTTTTAATTTAAAATGAATGATCTGCATAGAGATTGCATTGAGCTTTGATTGGAAATGGGCAATAGGTAAATGCATGCAGTGTATCTCTGTTCTGCTGTCAGGCTCATTCCAGTTACAGAGCATACAGTCCCATTCCCTACTGTGAAATAAGGATCTATTCATTTTACACTAAATATTTGAATTCTGGACCCCTTTAAAGTAACAGAGCTTTACCACAGACTTCAGGAGGTCTGAATTTAACCTTTTTTTTTTTTAACCCATTTTTGTTGTAAAATAATACTTGCCTATCAGCTGTGTAGGGCTTTTTTAGTGCTTTATCATTTCTTTATATATCTAATACTGAATAGACTGCCCCAGGTTTAAGCAAGTCCAGGAACTTGGGAGAAATCTGTGTATATTTTTCATATGCATTAGAGAAATTACAATTTATCTGTTGATTTAGGCTCACCTAACTGTTGCTTAATACCCAGGTTTATTTTAATTCAAGTCTTCACGTTGCCTCAAAAAATGCAACGAAAACACAAACACCTTTCACATAATCTGCAGAAATTAAAGAGGCTAAATATTTATCTATGCCCTAGACTAGATGGTCCTGCTCTGGCTGGGGGAGTTGGACTCGATCTCTGGAGGTCCCTTCCAACCCCTAACATTCTGTGAGTCTGTGATTTCTTTTTAAATTATCACCAAACAAGAAGTATTCAGAGATTTCAGAATGCTTCACATTTTTAGCTATTATATTTTTATCACTTCACCTCCCTACCCATGTGCACTGCATACTGAAAAGGCAGCACAATGCCTTCCTATTTCTCTGCAAGTGTCACTTAGCAAGTCCACACAAACCAGGTATAATGATCACAACACATCCTGATAGCTTGCAGAGGGAGCACAACACCTTTCACAAAACAGCACGAGATTTAATCACTACCACTCCTCATCTAGAGCTTCTCAGCTGTTCATTCTCAGCTCTCATATTTAAAAAAAAAAAAATGTAATGAGATCTCAGTAATGACATCCAAGCAGCCTATCCCCCAACTAAAGTATGAAGAACCTCACTTGGTGGTAGAGCCTCATCCACTCTCTGGTACCGGCTAACATCCTGACGTACCGAAGGCAGCGACCTCAAGGGCTGATGGCCATTAGCTTGAGAACCTAGGATCAAAATGTCCACAAATTATTTTTTCAGTCCACGTGAGAAAGCCCTACAACTGCCTCTAAGACATGCTACAGCTTCTGCAGGACTACAGAGTTTTAGGATGTGTCTAATAGTCATCTACTTCTAGGGGCAAAATAAATTCTGTCTACAGTCCTAGGTGAGTTATTTCTCTGGGATGCACTACAGTCCTAGTTGTGAAAATGTCACCTCTTGGGATGTGCTGCATCCACCTGTGACCTGTAGAAGTCGTGGCACAGAAGCAGCAGCATGTGCCTGAGCCAAATCCCAGCAAAGGAAAAGGACAAAGCTCCACCTGGCCACCACAGAAATCTCGCTGCAGGAGTGGAAAGTGAAACTGTCCACTGACTTTCCTTGTTGCGTCCACACTGATCTGCAAAACATGGTGCAACCTTACACCTAATCAAAAAGAGTGTCCCAAATGTCTAGAAGATACTGTAAAATAAAGTATTGAGATTATTTGAAGTAAACACCAAAATTATTGCAAAACAAAGAGCTGTTTATGAAGAGAAAAAATAAGTAGATTCCAAAACTTCTGACCAGTTACAAAATGGACACATTCAGAAACCCACTTGATCAGATCCACTTCAGTTCCAGAAGGAATTCAATGGATAATTGAGAAATGTGCTTTGAAGCAATCTGTTAGAGATACATTTCTACTTCCAGTAATTTTAGTGAGACAGAAAATTTTCAACTGTTAAAATAATTTCAAAATTGGTAAGAGTTTTATAGTGTTAACTTGAGTAACACGTTCCTCTTCTCCCATGGTTCCAGCTGTACTAGGATGTGTCTCTACAGATAAGAAACTGGGAAAGGGAAGATAAACATCCTGAAGCATGACTATAAAACAGTTGTGTTTTTTTTCTTCCCCTTTCTTTTGATTACCATTATGTTTTAATGCTAATATACAAACGTGCGAAAGAAAAGACTCAAATATATTAAGTCTAGTTTGCATTTCATAGTTTTGGGGGTTTTGTCCCCCCTCATATTAACATTTTGGTTAGCAAGTAGGGTATTATTCTGCAATTCCTTCCTCCTCTTCATCCTCCTCCTCACTACTCTCTTACAAATTAAAATATATCAAATTTCAAAATAAACGTGTCTTTGATATTTCAGGTTTGACTTTTTGTTCTATCAATGATCTGCTCGAGGGTGGGAGGCTGAAATGATGGGCTGAGTTCAACTGTAAGAGATTCAACAAGGCCAAGTGCCAGCTCCTGCACTTGGGTCACAACAACCCCAGGCAACACTACGGGCTTGGGGAGGAGTGGCTGGAAAGCTGCCTGGCAGAAAAAGACCTGGGGGTCTTGGTAGATACCCAACTGAACATGAGCCAGCAGTGTGCCCAGGTGGCCAAGAAGACCAACAGCATCCTGGCCTGTATCAAGAACAGTGTGGCCAGCAGTAGTGAAGTGATTGTGCCCCTGTGCTCAGCACTGGTGAGGCCACAGCTTGAGCACTGTGTCCTGTTTGGGGCACCACAGTATAAGAAAGATGTTGAGGTGCTGGAGTGGGTCCAGAGAAGGGCAACAAAGCTGGTGAAGGGTCTGGGGAACATGTCTTGTGAGAAG